TTTTCTTGTGTAAAACAAGGACACATCTCTGTTTATAATTGCAATATATGTACCTGGAATGATTCGGACTTGAGGCAGAATTCGTCAATATTTGTTTATTTATTTTTATTTTTTTGCACTAAGTAATTCCAAAATACAAGAATTTGTATACACACCATCCACTGATACAGATACAATAGTAATGCTAATCTACTCGGTCTTCTCCATTTGGCCACAGGTTCTCATCCACATCACATCTTATGTCATCTAGGGCAATACACCTAGGAAAGAATCTTCTGGCATGCCTGATCCATCCCTGTCAATCTTCTGCTGATATGTCCAGGCATCCAGCATTCATTGCATCCAAGAGGGACATTTGATCATGTGGATGATGGTCGTAAACCTTCCAGCCGATTGGCACTCCAGCTAACGTAAAATAACTCACAACTTCTTGAAAAAAAACAGCTAGATACTCACCTGCTCTCCGTGGGAGTAGCTCTGCTGCAGCTGCCCGCAGGAAGGTTGCATGCACCATGAAGGGGATGGGGGAAAGCCTTCAGGAGCCCCATCCCTGGATGAGTTGAAACCGTCGGAGAGCTAATGGAGTCAGGCCTGTTGGGGATCGGGGCTATTGTGGTGCTGAGGCGTCATCTGCTGCACGGCGCCACTCGGGTCCCAGTTTGAGGTGACCCATCCGGTTAGGCAAGTGAAACGTCTTGTCTCTCTGGCAGGAAGACCATCTTCCTCTGCTGTTGGGGGAGCTTCGTAAACTCTGTGTTTCAGACCGGGGAGTGGTCAGATCTCTGTAGGTGGGTATACCTACTTTTGGTCTGGTTGGTCTGATGGCTGCCATACTCAGGGAGTAGCTGTTGCTATAGCGGATCGTCTCCTTCCGATGGTGTCTGATGTCACTCCTTTCAAAGAACATAGACTCAGACTAAGGCATTCCTTGGGTATCTTGTCTGTTGTCTCAGCTTATGCTCCAACCGCGGTGAGTGATGTGTCATTGAGGGAGACATTTTACTCGCAACTTCACTCAGTGGTTAAAGGGTGCCCACGAGGTGACAATCTGATCATGTGTGACATCAATGCAACCACTAGCTTGACAGGGCTGGCTATGAGGATTGTGTCGGTCCCCATGGGTTTTTTTTTATTTTTTTTTTTTATCACCCACCACCACCCCCCCATGGGTTTGATGACCGGGGTGAAAGTGGCTCCATGTTCCTTGACTTTGTGAAAGGTCAGGGGCTGTGGGTCACTAGATCCCGGTTCCAACGTCCAGAGCGGCATCGTTGGACTCGGTACTCCAAAACTGGTGGTACTGTGAAGGAGATCGATCACATCCTCGAGGGCAAATGCTGAAGGCTCCTGCAGAACTGCAGGGTCTAGAGAAGTGTCCAGTTTCTGAATTCTGACCACAGACTTGTTGTTGCTACTCTAAAGATTCAGTTTAGATCCAGTAGGCTACCACCTACTAGGAGAATGAGGCTGGACTTAGACTCCAAGATCAAGCTGTTTCTGATGAGTTTGCATGCAGATTGTGTGAGGAACTTGCAGACTTGGGTGCTATTGCTGACTCTAATGTGATATGGGAGATCTTCTGTGATAAGACCTTGAAGGTTGCCGGGGCTGTATCGGTGTTGCCAGTGTTCCCAGAAAGACGTGTTTCATCTCGCAGGGCACCCTGGATATTATCAAGAGGAGTCGCAGTGCATGACTTGGTGGCAACTCCAGTCTGTACCGGGAACTGAGAAGGACGGCTGTGAGGGCTCTGAGGGCAGATAAGGAGGAGTTTCTTAGACTAATTTGTGAGCAGGTGACACACCATCTATGGTCTAGTGACCCACGTCCTGCTTACAGAGGAATTGAAGCATTATGCATGTCTGAATCTGTTCCTCGGAAACTTGCAGTCAGGGCGGGTGATGGGACAATCCTTATGGATGACACTGCAATTGTGACCCACTGGGCCGGCTACTTTGAGCAGTTGTTTAAAGCTGACCCTCCATCTAGGATGTTGGACATCTCTGGGTCTACGGTTCTTGAAGCTGTGAACCACCCAATCTCACTGAGATTGCACGAGTGGTGAATCAGCTGGGGGCAGGGAAAGCCACAGGGATCTGTGGTGTCCGGGGTGAACTTCTCCAGGCTGGTGGTAAGGCTGTCCTCCTGGCATTGCAGGCAATCATCCTAACTGACTGGAAAACGGGATTTGTAGTCCCTACCTGGACAGGGATGGGTGATCGCCTGGATTGTAGCAACTACAGGGGTGTAACCCTGCTTTCAGTGCTGGGTAAGGTGCTTGCTAGGGTCATCCTTAACAGGATCCGTGATCACTTGCTTGCCTGTCAGCAACCGGAGTAGTTTGGTTTTACGCCTAAGAAGTCTATCATCGACCGTATCCTTGCACTGTGGGTTCTCATTGAGCACAAACGTGAATATTGGCAGAGGTTCTTTGCAGCCTTTCTTGATTTTTGTAAAGTGTTCGTCTCGGTTGATCGAGTTGCCCTGTTACTGGACATCATCGCCGGCTTCTCCACTGGTACTGTGACTGCTGTGCAGAGTGGAGGGAGAACCTTCGCGTTCTTCCCAGTAGATTCTGGGGATCCCCAGGGGTATGTTCTTGCTCCTACTCTGTTCAATGCTTGTATGGACTGGGTGTTGGGCAGGGTTGTGGGGTCCAGAGGCTGTGTGGCGTCCGTTGGTGAAGAATGATTTACTGATCTTGACTTTGCCGACAGTGCCGTGAGTCAATGGAGGCTCTGACTGGGCCCCACGAGAGACTGAGCAAGGAGTCTGAGTATCTGAGATTGCGGGAGTCCGGGATAAAGACCAAGATCCAGGCATTTAATGACTTCTTAGACACAGCCATCAGTAGTGTGTCTGTCTTCTGGGAGAATGTCGACCTTGTCGAGAGATTTACCCTCTGCAGTGACATTCATGTCTCTGGCGACTCTTTCTATGAAGTCAGCAGATGGATTAGAAGAGCATGGGGCTCATGAGATTGCTGGAAAGGGGTGTGTTGTGCTCCAGATATCATTGCAAGAGGACGAAGGTGCAAGTCTTTAGAGTCCTGGTCCTCCCTGCATTGCTGTATGGCTGTGAGACATAGACGCTATCCAATGGGCTGAGATGAAGACTGGACTCCTTCGGTACTGTGTCTCTTTGAAGAATCCTTGGGTACCATTGGTTTGACTATGTGTCAAATAAGCGGTTGCTAGAGGAGTCCCGAATGAGGCACATTACCTGCATTGTGAGGGAGTGTCAGTTACAGCACTATGTCCAGTGGCACGTTTCCCTGAGGGAGATCCAGCTCGCAGGTCCTCAGAATGGCTGGACCAGGCCAAGGGGACGCCCAAGCCACTTGGAATAATCTGCTTGATTGGTATGAGTCAGATCGACATAGAAATGTCCCTGTGATGCCAAGTTGACA